CTTTGCAAAGGTTCTACATGCTGTTATAAACGAGAGAAAACAAAGTAAATCCTTGAACTGTGGCTGTCAGGTACTTAAGATGTAGCTCCAAAGCGAATGGATTTCCAACTTCATGGAATAAAAATATCTTATCTACACTATAACAAAAGACCAACTGCTGTTAAAATGAAGATGTCATGCAAAGAAAAATGATTTAGTCAGGAAGAATGCCAATTCTGTTTTCACAACAACACACAAAAACATTGCTATATAGCTAAGTAAGTTCTTTGGATCACCTATTAAAGAGACATTTTCATTCCTACAGATACAACACACACACAGAAAAACGAATCACACAAATGCTTCAGCATTTTTGACGACTCAACCCTCAACTTGATAAATATATAAATATATAACACAAATGCTTTTCACAGACCCCAAAGAGTAGGCGAATCACCCTATCTTGAGCCCAAGAACCTTCCATTAGTTCTGTCACCAAAAGTTTGAAGAACAGAGATCCAGCTATAAGTAAATTTCTTCATCAGATTATGTAAACTACCAAGAAACAATAATCAAATAAACATTTCTTGGTAACAGTTTTTCCATCAACCAAAATATTTTTAATATTTTTACTTAACCAGAAATAAAAAGCAAAGTTTACACCAAACAGAAAGGGAAGCATTTCTTGAAAATTCTGCTTAACCAAGAAAATTTAGTTGCAAGTAAATTCTTTACTCAGTTTTGGGATATGTTCACATGCTCTATTTTACGTGAAAAGGAGAACATCAGTTAATTATGGTTCAAAATATTGGAGAAGTTCTTGATGACGAGTTAACATCTTTTTTCTCCACAGGGTTAAAATAGCAGAGTTTGAAGGACTGTTGTCCCAGTAGAGTGCTGTTGCCAAAAACTTGGTAGGAAGATGAGTAACACCTCTCTGTCTGGAAGGGGGCTCAAGAAAGAGAGAGAGAGAGAGAGAGAGAGAGAGAGAGGTAGTCGATACAGCTGTGCTCACTGATTGACATCTTGGCAAAGGTCAAAATCTGAATGGGTGAAGGGAAATACAGGATTTTTCAATGTCTTAGTGAGGGCTACTGCACAAATTATAAATAAGACAGAGATAGTGACCATAGCCACGTCACTATTTATGAAAGGTGGCTTCAACAAGTGTGGAAAAGTAGAATTTAAAAATAGGATTTTTCCCCCCCATGAACTTGTTGAAACATCCTTTACAAATACGATGAAATCTGGGTTTTAGAAGAGCCTGGCTATGCAATCTAAGTGTTAGTGAGATGCTTCAGAAACATTTGTCTGTGATATATCGGCCTCTCATTCCTAATGAGGCCCCTCGTCATACTCTTTAGCTGTCCCATTGCTCATTTGAGTTAGCCACATTCAAGAATATAAGATCTTTGTAAATCACTTTTTCTTCTTTCCGACACTAGACGGTTGGCTTTTTCTTTCCGCTACAGCCACCATTCTTTTGGACTGAGCACACCCGTATCTTCTGGCATCATCACTTAAATGACACAAGCTGGTGCTGATTCCCTGTGCAAAAGGTGGTGAACGAGGAACTCGAAGATGAGGATGGCAAGCTGTGACCCAGGTCAGTCCTCCTTGCTAAGCTCCACATTTTCTTGTCCCTGCTAGATCAAGCTTCGATGACCGCCAGTCTCTAGGTTCGACATAGGCTGAATATAGGCAGAAGCCTCTAGCCATCACTATGCGTAATAACGGGAAAATCCCTCTCTCACATGTGTGAGGGTGAAGGGGTGAGGTACGACACATGGCTGACTGCACTGGAGTGGCTCATTTTGCTATTTCATGCGGCACCTCTGGATGGGAAAGGTGTGACTGACTACAAGTAAGTTGAAACTTGAATGGCATTAGTAGGCCAAAGGAGTTTCTAACTCCTCCTTTGTTATCCTCGCCTCTTCTCACTCCCAGTACCTCCTCACAAGATTCCCCGTCAGCATTTCTGGGGGACCTCTCATAACTGTTAACAACAGCTCCTTACCACCAAAAATGTTAGGGAGGGGGAGTAGATGTTAACTTTTGATAACAAAAGCCATTACTTTAGCGTTTGTATGTTTATTTCTTACTGCTGTTCCTGCCCACATGCAAAATCCCATATATATTTTTTCAATTGACTTATTCAATGTTTGATATTTGGGGCTAATATTTTAGCTGACTAGCAAACAAAATCCAGATTGGCTGACCAAGTCAAAACCAAGTACTCAGTACATAAGCCTCCCAAAGGTTCAATTGTTACTCTGCTAACGCAAGTAACATGTTCACTTCTAATTACTAAGCACTTTTTCAGAGCATGTTGCGATTCCACATATTTGTGATGGTTGTAAATCATTTTCTATCTGGCCATTTGTAAATGGGTGGGACAAGAAAGCTTTAGGATAATGACTTCATGATCTCCATTAAACTTAGGGAACAGTTGGTTTAATTCGTAAAATTAGTACTGTCAAGTTACACAGCAGCTTTGGCAGCAGACCCTCTGGCCGTCGGGCACAGCAGGAGAGATTTCAACATACTTAGTTTGCACTGCACTTCCACATCACAACATGTTTCTTCTATCAGATTCACCTCACCCACAATCTAGTTACGTGGATTCTTTTTTAAAGGGAGAGTTCTAAAAGGCATCGTTTTGAAAACAATGTTTTTCTTTGGAAGCAAACAGAGAAGACAGATGCTGAGAAACCAAGGAAGTTCAGAACGACTGGCAAGCAAAGCTCTGACCTGGCTGAGACCGACTCGAACTTTCATCTCCAGAACCGCAAGGAAGCCCATGTCTGTTCGTTAAAGCAAGAGCAGAGGAA